ATGGCTTCAAAGCTTAGGCTTTCCAAATATCTTTTTTAAAGACATTGACAGCCCCCAAAACCTGGTGACCGACCGGGTGACAGAGAACACGGCCACCGTCTCCTGGGACCCGGTGCAGGCCGTCATCGACAGGTACATGGTGCGCTACACGTCTGCCGATGGAGACACCGGGGAGGTGCCGGTGGGGAAGGAGCAGAGCAGCGCCGTGCTGACGGGCCTGAGGCCGGGCGTGGAGTACACGGTCCAGGTGTGGGCCCAGAAGGGGGCCCGGGAGAGCAAGAAGGCGGACACCATGGCCCCGACAGGTAATGGAGCCTTGTTCTTTGAGAATGTAAGACCTCAACCTCTGGCTAATCAAGTTTTGTTTTCCTGCTTTGACACTGGTGGACTAGATGATTTATGGAAGAGCAGGATAGTGTCCCTTTGTGGAGATTGCACACACCATCCCTCACCTTCCTTTTACACATTACCTCCAAATAAGGAGCTCATATTGGCCTCATACTTTGGTCTTATAAAGATAGATGATGATCGGTCCCATCTACCCACTTTTCCTCTGATTTGTACTCAATCGTTGAAATGTTTTGTCTTAAGAGGGAAAAGATATAAAGAAACCATATATGTTAGGATCTGCGAGCCTAGTACTTTAGGGAAGTGTTTTTTTCACTCTGATCTTTTTGAAGCAAGGAAGGGTTATTGTTTTCTTAGGGGATAAATCCTCTCTGAAGCACTGTGTGCTCCGTTCTCAGGATCCTAAAGTTGCACTTACATCCTGTAACAGTTCATAATTTTTAAAGCTCATTCATCTTTGTGTCCTCATTTTTTAAGAACAGACTTATTGAGATATGATTTACTTTCTATACAATGTACTCTTTTAAAGCATATAGTTCAGTGGTTTTTAGTGTATTCACAGAGTTCTACAACCATCACTATTATCTAATCAGAATATTGTCATCACTCCAGAAAGAAACCCCATGTCCGTTAATAGTGCCTCCTGCCCCCACTCCCCCCAGCCCTAGGAAACTATTACTTTCTGTCTCTATAGAGAGAGAAGGTCCTTATTCTGGACATTTCATATAAATGGATTCACACAGCATGTGGTCTTTCGTGACTGGCTTTATTAACTACACATAATATTTTCAAATTTCATCCATGTTGGAGCATGTATGGGTACTTTATTTTCTTGCCAAATAATATCCCATTGTATGGATGTAACACATCGTTTATCCATTTGTCACTTGATAAGCATTTGTGCTTTTTCCACCTTTTGTCTATTGTGAATAGGGTTACTATGAGTGTTTATGGTACAACTTTTTGTGTGGGCATATGCTTTCAGTTCATTTGGGTATATACCTAGGAGTGGAATTGCTGGGTCATATGATAGCTCTATGTTTCACTTTTTGAGGAATGGCCAAGTTATTCCCAGAATGGTGGCAGTATTTTATATACCCACCAGCAATGAATGAGGGTTATATTCTTCAATTGCTTCATCCTCAGAGGTATTTGGTGAGATGGGTAGAGCAGGAATCAATATCCCCATTTTATAGTTAGGAAACCTCAAATACAAGGAAATGAATGATTTTTACAAGTCACAAAGTCAGCTGATGATTCATGGAGTCAGATTTGTGGCATATTCATTGCATATTATGGTACCTTCGTATCTATTTAGTAAGGCCCATATTTTACAAAGCAGGAACTGAGGTTCAGCTGGGGACAGCAGTGCTAGCTGTCCAGGGCCATGGCTGGCTGATGGCAGAGCTGGGCCTATATCCCCAGTCTGTTGGCTCTGCTCAGGGCTTTTCCTGCCCCTCTGCTCTGCATCTCTGGGCTGAAACTGCAAACTAGCTCTTCTGACTCTGGATACTCCTGCTCATTCCATTATCCTGTGCTGCCTTCTTGAGGATCCAAGAGTCTAGCTGTGGAGAGAAGTTCGGTCTTGGTGACACACCTGAAAACTGACAGGACATGGGAAAACCACAAGACCAGGAAACTGCCTCCCTTCAA